GGTTAGCGTAGTGCGTGAGGATCCTAAATGCCCGATGAGAGTACAGGCATTGAATGAGTTCCGAGAACGATGAAAAGTAAATACTATTCTAAACACAATGTAGTCGGGATATCTACTGTCCCGTAGCAGTATGGAGACTCTTGTCGGTCTACGACTGTACCTATATACACTATGGCACAGCACAGTGTACAGTATTAGCCACGGTACAGTACGCTATAATAGCGTAATCCTCTTGCGGCGATTCTGCTCGCGCACAGCACAGTAACACAGAGGAACGCGCCGTCGATGTACACCGACGCGAAGTCACGACCTACTAATGAATGATTATGCTACGATTTGCCCCGGGACGGCAGCTATCGCAATTTATTAAATTACAGTGATCCGTGCCTCGACGCGGCATCGACTCTCGGCATCCGGTAGTCGCGCGTCCATTGGCAAAACGATTTTCTGCCGATTTTCAATTCCGACCTCATAGGAAAGTGTCCGTTCCCACGCGAGTACTGCCAACTGCCAACTGCCAACTGCCACTGGAGTAGTTATACGGTACGGCGATGGCTCTGCTTAAAAGAGGGCCCTCCTCAGTTAGCACGAACCTAGTACGAGTCCATCGGAATGATCCTGGAGCCACGAGGCTCTCGCTCGAGTCCCTCGGACCCGACGTAGAGACGGTATCCTTGGAAGTATCGATGAATACAGCGGGGGCGCCCTCTTTCGGCGAACCCGGGAGACTCGTATTATCCGCGCATTCACGTGAAATTCGCTGCGGAATTGTTGCGTGCCGCGACGATGCAGCCATAAAGAACGGAGCCATTAATTTAGTAGGAAGGACGCCCAATATCCTTCGAAAGCCTTTGCCGACGCGATGCACCGATAGGCAGCCTAACGCGAGGATAAAATAAGTTTAGGGGCGTGAAATTGGCAGTAATTTTACAAGCCATAACGATCTACTAAATCTGTAAAATAATTAAGGGCGCAGATGTTCCACGCTCAATCCCCGCAGCACCGCTGCGCCCTCTGTACGAGGAGCTTGGCTCTACGCAGGAAGAAGAGCGAACCAGGACTCCGTAATGATTTTCATATTCAGATCCTCGGGGCTACCAAGATCCGTTTTTTTTTTTTTTTTTTTTAAATCACACTTTTTCTCACCGACGTTCAGCCCAATCACCGTTCTCCATGTGCTCCGTCCCATAACGCTAATGCGACCGACTACCACGAGTGCCAAAATTACCGACCCACCCGAAAGGACCCTCGATGAAGTTGATTGGGTCCGCCGGGGCGCCGCGTGGTCTAGAAATTAAAATTAAAAGAGCTCAGGAATTCTCGGGGTCTTTACGTGCGCCAATGCACGAACGACCACACGTCGGTGCACTCCGCACCGTGCACCGCGCTACGTACACTAAAGCGTACCGGTCAACGACGACGGAATAACGTTCGAGGCAATCACTGCGCCTGGACGATGTAAAAACGGAGCTGCTAACGATCCGCGACCACCGCGTCTTAATGTCGAGGCAGCTTAAGCCGCCGTAAATGCGACCGAGCGACTGAGCGATCAACAATCCGGGCACCAGGTTGCATCCCCCTTTGCTCCTCTTAAAAGCGTCAACCGTTATGACCCACGTGGACCCGCCGCATTTGTTGTTCCCTTTTGCACCGGATACGACCGCCAAGGCTCGACCATTTCGAATCTCTACTCCCGTCTTATCCGTCGCCGCAGGACGTTTTATCGGCGAGTGCCAGCATGGCGGATAGTAACGGTGTACCTGCTTCCATGTACATTTGCCCTAGCATAAATAACGATCAGACCTTGTCGCCTCGTTAGCGATACCCGGTACGTCCTGCTAGAAACCCAAGTAAATTACCAAGGGACCATCAAGAACGGAAAGAGGTAAATTAAGTAAAAGAAAGAAAAAAAAAAGAAGAAAAAAAAGAATGGTGAAACGATGAATTCCCTCTTGTGTACGCGTTACATATTACAAGTTTGTAGGCTGCGAGTAGGAAGTAAGAGGAAAACGAAGGGGATGCAAGAAAGATGGCAGCTATGTATATAGTTTCTTCGAAATAATTAACGGCAATGATAGAGTGTCTTAAGTTAATGAAACGTCCTTGTGCGTCCCGTGAAAGGGTCGCCTTATTCCGAGCGGCGACATCTAACGCCGGGCGAATGACTTATTAGGGAAGCCACTCGTAAAACGTGATAAAACATCATCTTTAAAGGAAGCAACAAAATCCGCATGCGGTTATTAGCCCGGTCACTTGTCTCGGAAGTAATATCTCGCTCTAAGAAAGATACGAGCTATGATTGTCTCATCCTTTCTCACGTCGTATGCGCTACTAATCTAGGTACGCAGTGTGTACGTATACACGTGTATATGTACTTACGGATACGAGATTACGTCGGCCGCTACAGCTACCGTAACTACCTATATAGGTCTAAGCAATAATTTTATTACCTCAACAATTTCATATGGCAGACGACCAAATCACAGAGGAAATCCATTGTGTATCACGACTACGCGAGACAGTCGGGGCTTCTCCGAAGGTAGAAGATTGCTTATTAGTTAGGAAGAAGGTGCGGGGGACCGTGGAATAGAAAGCCCAGTGACAATTTGATAGATTGAGCTTTTTGTCGCTGAACGCTAGAGGAGTCGTTAGGCCGCTAGGGAATTGAGGTGTTTTTTTTTTTCCTCACCCGAATAACTAATAACGAGCTCCACTTGTCTTATCTGCGAGCATGACTACCTAGAGAAAGAGAGCGAGTATGTGCGTATGTGCGTGTGCGCGTGTGTGACAGAGATAGAGAGAGAAAGAAAGGAGAGGGACATCCTCGTGTCAGGCCGAAAGCCGATGTGCTCCATAGGCGCGTGCTTGCCATATGTTCTTCTGTAGAGAGTCTTCTGTACGAGAAGTATTTCCTTTTTATTTTTCTTTATCTTTCTCTCTTACTCGCCCCGCTCTCTCACTCTCTCTCTACGCCTACGTGCTCCTTACGAATAGGTTTTAAGGAAAAAAAGCAGAAATGAAAAAAGACTCGTTCGGTGACATGTCCAGCACAAGCTATTGATCTTCTGCTCTTTTTTAGATTCTTTATTATCGTCTGGGGATCGTGTAGTTCAGAATTGTACAAGAGAGGAATCTTAACCTTCGAGGTTTATTAATCCGTGGAGATATACAAGCACGCAGAACGAAACGACCGATACTACTGTACAAGTGTGAATACTACCGCGGTAACTGGTAATAATAGTATTACTAATAGTAGGTGGAAAGAAAAGGGAGCGTGAAATCGGTCGCGAGCCAGTCACTCGTTTCATTCGTTTACTACCGTTTCGGTTCTCCGTGCCGGTTAACGTCGATTGCGCAGCGTGATGTTTTGCCACACGATTCTCAAGTTAGCATTAGATTTTCGGATGCGGGATGCTGCACGTGTAAGGTTAGCATATCATTTTCAGAAATCCCATTTTCTTTAGCCAAACGATCACAACTATTGTCAAATACTTAATTGTCAAATACAAATCACGAGTTCTAGAACTCTGCTCGATGCAAAGGGACCTGTAGTTTTACTTTGAGATGCCGCCATATGAGAATCCAACTTGACAATTATTTTTTCCATTGCTTTTGAGCACCGAGCACTCACCACTCGTCATCGAAGCTCAGTCGGTTGAAACTCTAGCTCACGAGGAACAACCTCCCGGTTATAAACCAAAGCCGGATAACGAACGCGCTTGAAAATCCGTTTGATGGCTTGAAAAGATAAAAAAAAACCAACCCCCATAGTCGCTGTAAAGGGATGAAACATCACTCGTGGTATTTAAGGGATGAACGTGCATTTCTTTTAATTCCTGTTACAATAAAATCAAATGAGATTGGCCTGAGCAACGAGAACCGTTTGAGCTGTCACGACAATGAGACAGTGAGTTTAATAGGGCAAACACCTGACACCCCCTGTGGATTATGCTCTGTGTATTCCGGAAGGGGGTTGCTTTGACAAATGGCCTTTCAAGACTCTTTCGTTCCGGGAAACACAATATCATTGTGACAAAACTGTAAATTGAATATCGACCCGGATACCCGTCAAGTTAACTATACCGCGTTACACCTGTATACGAATTTGGTATACGCCATAGAAAAAGCTACCCGACAAGACAAGTTTTGTGTCTCGTGCTGCTGGACATTAAATCTAATCGGCGGAGTTTTGCGATCGTTCCGCTTTGGGGCTTTAAACGAATTCAGGTACCCGACAAAACGATTCAGAAATCCTGCATGTAACGTAATTCATGTTTCAGTATCGTCCCCTCATTCAGTCCGGCTGGCTAGATTAATGCTTTGAGCTTTTAATACTGGGTTTGGAGCGTTCAGGGATTTTTGTGTGCATTTACGAGCTTTCAATTAAACGAGAGTAGCACAGGCCAGTGAAGGTTAGAGAGGTGAATTAATAGGATGGGATATGCAGGTGAAAAAAGATGGAGAGGAAGGAAGGTTTCGCCTTCGCGTTTACTTTCGACAAATGTATCATTTTGCTCTTGGTCAAAATAAAAAGCTCATTATTCGTAAGCGAGCGAAATAAAGCAGGGTGCCGAGGTGTCGTTGAAATAGCGTGTGTCGTTGATTCTTAATAAAGGAAGAAAATTACAGGGCCGAGTACAACATACCGGGGACCCTAGTCCAATCCAGCGGGAACCCCCAACGTGTAATTTGGCTTTTCGAGCTACACTTCTGAACACGGATTTATGGTGTCACCAGACGACACGCGAACGCGATATAGTTATTGGATCGGAAGAAGCTCTACGAGGCACAGGGCCTCTGTTTCTGTTTTATGTTTTATGGAAACGACTGAATTATACTTGGCTAGAATGTCCATGGCGTGCCGTGTCATTATTCGGAAGACTGGCACATACGATTCGGATAGCCACGGACGGAGCGGGTGGGTCTGGACTATGAATATTTACGACTAGACACACGAGAACTATTTACATGAATATGTTACTTCTTTTTTTGTCACTCACCGTGCAGATTGTAGGTGTCTGGCCATGGATCTTGTTCCCGTCCACAGGACCTTCCGGTCCTTTCGGTGGATCTGCGTGAGGGCGCGATGGAAATGAATTTATTGACGAATTCGTGGAATTATTCGAATTTCCAATGTGACTCGTTAGACTGGTGCTCGCTGGAATTTCAGGACGAAAAAACCACGTTGGCCACTGGAAAAGAAAAAAAAAAAAAAAAAAAAAAAAAAAAAAAAAAAAAAAAAAAAAAAAAAAAAAAAAAAAAAAAAACCCAAAACATTAAAGTTAATCTCTGAAGTTTGTCGTCTGGCCTCGTAAGTAACTCTGCGATCTCGTAACCAGCTAGGGCACGCATGTTCGTCAGCGAACAATTTGTTTACACGAATTCTATCAGTAGGAAAGTCAAAAAATTCGTGGGATCTTTAGGATCGAGAGATAAAGGTTCGCCATGAGAAAGGTCCAAACATTAGTGTCACTGGCTGAATATGAGCCTCTCTAAGATAGATGATACAGGCCCTGACCCTGAGACAGCACGTTCTGCCGAAGTGCTCGTGCGTGTGGTCCATTGAGTGTCTTTTAAAGAGATATAAAATACTAGAAGGAATAATGAAAAAAAAAATCCAATTTTAAACTTCTGACATCACAGCCACCTTAAGGACTTTTTGATATTGGAATCTGAACAGATCGTGTCGTTATCATATAACGGATGAACCTGTCGGTAATTCATTCGTGTACCTATCTCGAAAGAGATCAGCGAGCACGTGGGACGACTGTTCGACGATCTGTGAAAATTGCCCAGAAAACGGCGTGCCTATATATTTTTGCGCTTCAAGCAGAAACAGAAGCGGAAGAAGATGGAGAAGCTGAAGTATACCGCGGTGGTCTGGCGAATGTCTCTTCCCGTTAGGCTGCAAGAGTTAACGCCTTTACCAAAATAACAAACTCCTGAAACCCCGAGTTACGCTACTTCGTCAGGGCCCCGGAATGATTTACCAATTTGCCAATTACCCGATTTCAAGTTTCGCGCCAGACATCGAATAACAGAACACAGTCGATTCGACTGCTCTTTCTTTCCCTCCTATACGGTTCTTCAACTTCCATCCGCCACATGCAAATATTATTCTCCCTGTTAAAGTGCATAGACGCATTCGGCAGATTTTCATTTCCATTCGAATGAATTTCTGCAAACGCAATTTAAATATCAAAATATTTTCAACTCCGACCCGAATCCAGTTATGAATTCCTGACATTATCAATAAATAAGAATTAGAGTTTCAGCCACTTCAACATTTATCCGCGACCTCGGATACAGTTGCCAAGTGCGTTCTTTGCAGCGAAGAAGATAGTCGCACGTACCATGTGCACAGAAGAGAATGTTCGCGAGAAAGAGCGAAGTCGCCAAGTGATGTGAAGTGGAAGATTCGTTTTCTTGTATTTTCAGACTTTTTCTCATTCGAGTACACGTACTGGCGAAAGGCTACGTCAGCGGCAGTTGACGTGCCGGGCCGACGTTACACAGAGGCCATGCAACCTTTCGGACACGCCGCTAAGTCAAAGGGGATAATTATGCATTTTATATTTTACGTTACATTACACTTACATCGAGAGCTCTCTGCGACAAGTATCAATTTGCCTGCGACGCGCCACAGCGAATTTGCCACGAATACGAAACGCGCGCCGCTTCAGTCATGCTGTATCCTCATCTGCCGTCTTCTTCTACGAGCCTTAAAAATAACCCTACTCCTTGAGAAGCAGAACCAAGGGACTTTTGTTGAACTTTTACAAAACATCGAGTCTTTCCTAGTATTTTCACAATTATCGCGAATCTTCGTAACAATAAGAGACGCGTGCATCACGCACAGGTCACGGCATGTGACAGGGAACAATGAGTCTGGGGAAGGGTGTGAATTAATGGAAAGTTAAGGGAGATCGTAGAGACCATATGTCAATAGAGAGCGCGCAAGGAGGCCGATCTCCTTGTATGAAATTAGCAATTAAGAATTCAAAGAGTAACGATTGTCCCTCGTAAGATGCGATCGAAAAATGGATAAAGAGTACTCGGTAATCTTTAGGTGTCATCTGTGGTAGACGTAACGCCCTTTTCCGTTGGTATTCCAACGGAGAGCGAATGGCACGATATCCGGACGCGAGTGCGAGGAGCTCGAGGAAGATCGTGAGGAATCGCGAAGGATCGTGAAAGGAGCAGGAAGGCAGAGCTGGGAGTTTCTGGGATGTCGGCTCTTACAGAAATGGGTGGGATTCAGGGAATAGTCTCGAGCAAGGTACGTGCGATTAGAACGTCCAGTAGAGAATGAGCAAATGAACGGCCATTGCTCGTTAACTTCTTCTCCGGTCTTTGAGTCGGTCATTAAAACTAATCTTTAAGTAGAAAGCAATGAATCCCGTGTTGCCGAGCGTGCACGCATATTCGATTCCGAAATGGGCGAGAAGATGACTTCACGATTAATTAACCGGACATCGATTACCCATTCGTTGACTGCTATGATTGATATAATGACAGACTGTTCTCGTGCGATGAGCCAGCTATCTAATTGACAAATAATTGTCAACGTGCGGTAGGCATAGGGGCCGGTTCACGTAAACCGGCTCTGGCGGATGATCTTATGGAGGAGGTACCCAAGATAGATACCACTCGAGGTACTAAGGTAGGTGGTTAGGTTAGGTAGATAGGCAGGTAGGTACGTAGGCAGGCAGGCAGGCAGGCAGGCAGGAAGATCAGGAAGGGAAGGAAAACAGGTAAGAATGGCCACGCTCGATGTTAGTTGGGTAAACTACTCCTGGGTAAAGGAAGAGTGGTTAGTCGGGGCTCAGGCGATATATCGCAGAGTCGATAAAAATGTCAGCGATTGGTCGTTCGAGTAAAATTAATTGAACGCACAAATTATTCAGAAACAATACTATCAGGAATCTCGCGACCCCCGAGGGCCAGATCGGCGACCACACGGAACACGCATCGATTCTCCTATTACGGGCATTGTGTTGAGTTTTATGCAAGCAAAGCATTGGTATTGTGCGCGATGACGCCCACAGACGTTATCGAGTATCAAGCGTCGCGACGGCATTGTACCATCCTGACGGCGCTAACGAGCTGTCGTTAAGTATACGTCACAGAGCCGTACCCTAACACGCGGCCAGCTCGTTCCTCCTGTTTACACGGAAATTTGACTATGCACAGAACCGAGGATAATCCATGGGCCTCCCCTATAATAACATTGAGTCTCCCCGAGCAGGCAGCAGTCAGACCTACCACTCCAATGGAACACGTAGATTCTCCCGAGCCGGATGGAAGTAGATCAGCGCACGCCCACTCGCTCGCTCTTTCACTCGCTGGGGCTCGTCCTTGTTCCCAGAACGATACAACCTGTTGAGACGTCGAAATCTTTCCAAGAGGAAACGCAGAAACGAACGAGTGAATAAGTCAACCAAGAGAATCAACGAGTGAGCGAGGAGAACCCAATTAAAGCATCGAACGCGTCCTAATTAACTCCTCAATTACGCGGTTCCCCTCTGACTTCGGGCAAACAAAGAAGGTGGGCAGGCAGGGTCACCCACTGCGCGAGCTCAGCAACCTCCGTGGCCCCGCAGGCTCTGGGTACACATTATAATTGCGCATATTAAAATGGCGTCACGGCTACGCCAGCCATCCAGACAGCCAGCCAGCCATCTTTAATCAATAATGGAGCATCAGGGACCATGACAACAGATACCCTTTCCCGGGTTTCCGTCTCACGGACCCCCCGGGCAAGGGTTGCTCGCCTTCCTAGCGTATCTAGAGTTTGGATACCATGCCAACAGTGTTGGGTTACATCAGCACCTACCCGAAGCACAGCATCCCTTTCCACTTTCGACCCTTAAAACTCAGATGGGCCCATGCTTGCCAACCCCTCAGACCTGCCCTTCGTCCTGACCCATCACGTATCCCGCCAACCCCATCGAAAGACGCGATGTCATTTTTTGCCCTCAACCATCTCACGTTCTCGCTCCCTTAAAGCGCAAACTTATGCGCCTCCCATCTTTCTCTACACTTACTTTTACCATGCAAATAGGAGGCCCTACGTAAATATCCACAGACTTCGAGATACAGGTATCCCAATTCTTGGTATATCTGGATTCTATCGCGGCACAATGAACGCAAAAGTATAAAAAGGGCCAGGCCAGCGTGTACCCCGTGAGGCAGTATTTTTTTCAAGGATCGAAAGTAAGGGTCCGATGGAGGTATAAGCGCTGTAAAAAAGGAAGAGGGGATCGCGAGTCCTCATCTGGTTCACATGGGCTCACCCGTTGGAGAATCAAGGTAGAATTCGAGGAGGCACTGGCGGCGCGTCGTAAGGAATATAAAATTAATAGTGTCTATGCCGAGGAACAAGACGAGGGCGGTATCGGCTCTCGTTTCGGCATTGGGAGCGTGTAAAGCCATGATACAGAGCCGCAGTGCGGTCCCCATCAAAGCGACGATCCACCATTGCCCGACCATTGCCGGACACGCCAGGGGCGCAACAGCTTGATACATCGTTACACGCTGTTTCTTCCATGTGCCCTTACACAGGATCCCATACAAACCTTAACAACACCCTTTACTTTCATCCTTACTGCCATCGGAGTGCCTACCAAGAGACTTGGACCGGAATATCATCGACGCTATCTCGAGAGCACGCTATAGGCACTGGCTTTGTGTCAATTGAAAGATATTATACTTTTTTCCCCCTTTTCGTTTTATGGACCAAAAGTGCATCCACGGTCATTAGACCACTGCTGAACAAACCCCAAGAATTTAAGTGTCCAACGATACATTATTTTACTGGGCATTCTATTGCCGATTCTTAATTATACTCTAGGAATGAAATAATGCACGCGCGTGCGCCTATGTTGAATATCGACGGACACGGGAGATGAGTCGCGTCACTGTTTTATGGAGGCATCAATTACTTTAATATTCATGGTCGTAATATCGCTGCTCCGCGGCTCGGTAGGTGTCAGCGCTCGTAAAGCATTGACCAGCGTCGTTTCGTGCTTTGTAACGTAATCATACGCTCGTAGAACACTAGTCGGATTATAATAATGTTTACTATGCGACTATGAGTTACTCGTTTAATGGCCCCATAAAGAATCACCAGGTCGTGTTTAACCAGCCACCATCTGCTCGTTAGAGTACCGCGAGTTCGAACCGAGGATAGGATTTGCTGTGGAGAGAAAGATTTCCATTCGACTTCGTCCTCGATAATCATTTTATGCATACTCCAAGGTCAACGCGATCACCTCATCAACGTTGGACAACGATAATTATGAGGATAGATAGTTGAGAAATTTGCAAAATTTCTATTAACCTCCAAATACGATCTTGTCGATTTTGGATTTGGATTGGAGAAATCGAGTTTGATAATATCGACGTTGAATCCGCGCATGGTGACGAATCGTCACGCTACGTCAAAACGAGGGCACAACGGGAATAAATAATTAGTGTGCGGTTTGGGGCTTGCGGTTTCGATGCGCACGCGCCTTGTCGTGCGCCGCGGTGCCTGTCGACGGCTGACGGTCCTCCCTTTAATAATATAGAGGGCAACTTTTTTATTTACCGTTCCGAATTAAGGGATACCAAACGAACCAGGAGGTTTCCTCGGCATAACCGGATGTGCGTCTTACTCTCGATAATATATTACATGTGTAGTATATACACGATAAAAATCACAGGATCGCCGTAAGGTTACCTAAATATCAACAAGAAAGAAATCACGATTTTCCGTCCTACAAAAAGTCTCACTAAAGATCCCGGGCGCTCGTGGCTCAAAGAAAGGGGGATAAAGAGAGTTAAAAAAAAAATGAGAGAAACAAACACCTCCCTTGTTTAATATGTTTACACGGGGAAAGCGTGACGCTGTTTTCCCATTCCCCGTGTAAGCGGCTCGTCTATTCTATGGGATATTGGAGCAGTGGTATATAGGGTGGTTCGCTCCTGCCACCGTAGCGCCATGTGTTGTGCCCATTGGAAACCCTCAGGTAGAAAAAGACTAGTAAACTTCGAGCACGCATCTGGCGAGCGAGCGAGGGAGCGAGGAAGTTGAAATTCAAGTTCGTGATGATCCGTCCGACAATGTATAGAAATGTAGAAATCCGTCTTCCTGAACATTCCAAGTATTTTACTTGGGGATTTGAGTGCAGCATATGATTTTCATACATTAATACATTAAGCGTTCCCACAGTGGCGCCGGACGTCCTTACGAGTCTCGTGCGATGAAAAAAAGCGAGAAAAATTCACGGCTAGTGAATCTATACTTCCGATATGAATTGGTGAGAATGATAAACGTTACGGCGTATAATAACTCCCGAGTTTATCCTCGCTCGATGACGTGTGATGTTTGCTCCAATAGAAATTATCATGATGGGCACTGCTGTTAAGAATAGAATTATCGGCCGAGGGTTATATACGTATTATGGTGTCAGCGCTACTCTGCATAAAGGGGAAGCCACAGTGGCTTTTATGTAGCTGATCGATCGACAGTTCTACCACCCTCTTTGGTATTTCAAAGATGGCCTATTACGCGTACGAGAAAAATATCCAATTCACGGGTGAATCGAATGTAGGTTGGTCGGTCAATTTTTTCATACCCACTTTTTAACCGAGCCAATGCAATTTTTATGAGACAAATTTTGGTTCGACAGGAAATAACCAGAGTTACTGTTTCAACTTGTACGTCTATAACCCGTCACGCTACGGGTACGCTGTCGTGATACAGGCGTAGAATCCAACTGTGGAAAGTAAACGGTCGTTACGCGAGGAGAGCGAGTGGGTGAGAGCTAGCGGGGAAGCGTGCAACCGAGTGTCCCTCGGAACAGAGGGGACGCGAATGCCCAAGGAGAACAAAAGAAGAAGATGAAAACCCATATCTTGACACGCTCCGAAACAATGATCGTTAAGCAAACCGAAGGCCATTTTCATTTGGCGAGCAATCAGACCTTAGGGCTGTCTCGGTGAGGGATATCGCGAGGCTTAAAGTTCCCTCGCGAGTCGGAGATGCCTCGGGGGCCTCAGGATCCCCATAATCACTGTAATTCCGCAGCCGTCGCGCGTCTTATTATTCACGCAGTTCGCGTTCGCGTTAGGTTCAATTGAGGATAATGCGAGCTAATGCCGTTTGGTAATGATTAACTATACTGGATTTTAAGAACTGACCGGCGTGGGTGGATGAAGTCCTCTGAGCGTCGTGTTGCTCCATTTCCGCTGTCTTGAAGAATAATGATTCCTGTAGTGACTATTGTTATTCTGATGGCTATTGTAGGGACTTTGCACGTGGGGATGACGATAACCACCATAGGGAACATGGGGATAACTGGACATTGATTTCCTATGTTCGTTAGCACGATGAAAATTCGCGGGATCGTATCTCTGATGGTGCAAGAATCCGTCGCTTATTGAATTCGTCGTGGCTCCTCTGTACGCCGAATGTCCATCGACTCTTGATCGATCATGATCGTGAGGTTCGTTGTAAGGTTTACAGGCTGATCGATCCGGTGAGTGTCCTGGTGGAAAGGTTGGTGGCGGTGCCGGTGGGGGTGCTGGCGGTGGTCCATAAAAATGAGGGAATCCGAGAAGATGATAACCAGGATTCTGAGCTTGACACGTAATCTTGGGGAATTCGATGCTGCTGTTCTTATTGGTTGGCAAACATGCTTCCTTCCTGGCACAACGATATTCGCCAAAGTCTTCCTGAGTTTCACCTTTCACGTCCACCACCTCGTCCTCGGGTACCTCTTGCTTCACCTCGACCTCAGGATCCTTTTCCGAGACTTCGCTCTTCACCATGAATTCCTTTGGGGGCTTTGCGACTAGGTCTACAGGACTGGAAGCTGGACCCGGGCCCGGATTAACGTCACAGCTTCCAAGACTTGCTTGCTGCATACTTAAAGTTTCACTGCCACGAGCGATATACTACTCCCGGAAGTGCCATCCCTGTTGGAAGCAATTCTACGATCGGACGCATCACCCTGAAACTAGCCATAAAAATGACGGCGTCTTCGAAAATCAATTGTTCGTGCCAATCGATGGGGATAAGAGAATCCGAGGGCGCTGTAAGGCACGAGTCGAGTCTTAAAAAAGTTTCATCTATTTCTCATTCCTTCGATTCGTACTGCATCCATGAGGCGATCCTTGCTACTCCGTGAGAATTTCCGGTTGCCCTGATAACGTTTGGTCGTAGGGCCATGAGAGATCCTCGTAGCAGTGAAATCAGGCGGAGTTTAACAATTCCACGTTGCGACGGGGAAGCCGGTGTGTGTTCGTTTACTCGGTCGTATTGGATCCTAGGGAGGGGATAGAACGGGAAGCAAGGGCGGCGTGACAGTTTCCGTGTCACGTGTCTCCGACCTTAAGCCCCGCCTACGAATCCGATTTTCGCTTGGAAGGATCGTTACCTGACATCCCCGACCAATGGGAACGTCATCGTGCCTTCCTTTCTTTTCAAAACCAAGTGGTAGCAGCCCCTCTGAACGGGGAGTCGGCCGAGTGACACTTCGGGACACTTGAACGCGGTCTCATCACCTCCCTACGTAGTACCATATCACTGCGTCAGAGTCATGGCAACACACAGGCAGTTTTCCTTCAACTTCAAGAGACACTTTCACTGACCATTCAAAAATGATTCACGAGGTTAACATTAATTTTAATAATTTTTACCACTTTTCGTCCTTCCATCGTCCCACCTGTCTTAGGACCAACCGATCATCCTTCTATTCCTTTTCCATCCTCCCCATCTATCCAGCTCCGTTCCTTATCGAGGTAAACTATCACCGCACTGCTTCAATGTACCACAATAACAGCACGCTCCGAAGCGCGAACCTCAAAAGTTCTATTCCACGCGAAATCTCCTGACGTACTGTCACTACTTCTCGCCAGCAGCGCTTTCCTCATGCACGATTAGCCGACGCGGCACGACACGGACTCTGATTTCTGTACCAACGGCACTCTCGATACGGTAATCGGACTATCAATTAAGGGGATAAACTATCGATACGTAGCCGCCATACGTAAGGAAGCCGGCCCCGTCGAGCTGGTCGCGTACGAGTTTCATTCCACGCAGCATGAAACTCTTGGCAGAGGTGCGCGGCCACCACCGAACCCCGAGAACACACGAACTCAGCCGAGCTGAACCGAACCCCACGAGTATTCTACCTACACTCTCTACCTCTGCTCTCTGCCACTTTCTGCTTCGGCCAACTTCACCAGACGCTGACTCCTTTACAGCACTGCCTCCATGCTACTTCGCGCTTCTGCCCTGGCACTGACGTGGGATTGGATGAAATCGCTTGATAATCTACATCCTCGAGATTAAGCTGGACTTGGTCAAAAAGAATCTTGGACAATTGTCATTAGTTGACTAGTCATTCAAGCTACAGTAAGCGATGCGCTTAAACCTTGCAAGACCCCAAAGCAGACATTAGTAATATTCTGACATATTGAGATCAAATCGAAAGCCACTTCATCTTTGACGTAAGGAGACCTCCTCCTCCACAGACAAGATTACTTCTTCGGCATATTTTCGAAAAATATGTGATAACATTTTTCTCGCCCCAAGTCAATCGTAATCGAACAGTGAGCCATTATTTGTACTTTACGCTTCAACGCTTCAATATGGATGAACGGCCTTTATCGCCTACGTTGCATAGCCGCCCAGCTGTCTGCTCTGTTATCCTACGAGGTAAAAGACTGACGTTAGGTTTTCCAAGCTATCGAAGCTATTAACAACATTGATAGAGAAACAGTTTCCACTCTGGATTCCACTTTCGCTCGTTTCCGTACGTAACTCGGATAGTATCCGTGAGGTCATCGTGTCTTCTTCATGATTTGCTGTCGAAATATCAAAGGCCACTTCAGGATTCAGCGATGACTCTTCTCATAATGTATTTTCTGAGGTCCCAGCAGCATCTCCGCTTCCTCAGGTGGAAGATCATCTGAAGCCTGTCGTGCGGATATGGGCGTGAGTCCTGGACCCGGGGACAGATCTGGCCAATCGGAAGGAGGAAGGCGTGGACCAGTTCTGGGGACACTACGGACGACAGAAGTAGGGACGCGCTGAGGACACCAGACCTCCTGTCGCAGTCGTGTACGCGACCTCTCTACCTTCAAGCTCCTGGTGGGGCAACCGTCGGAGGGACTCGAGGAGAAGTGGCAGGTGGTGGGGTCGCTTCTACCCGCCCATTCTCCATGTAGTGGGGGTCGAGTGCGCCGATTACAGCGCTCTCTCGTCTCCTACGAGTTCGAAGAAAATGCACAAGAGGAACGCGAATGCGCGCCACATCGTCACGCGACTCTGAATTACTTGCTGATCTGCGACAGGCGATTTAATACGTGCAGAGCAGCCACCAATTAGCGAGCCATTGAAGGATTTGCAAAATCTAGAGATAAAATTGCTCGTTGTAGCGAAAAATTTTTTCATTCAATGTTTTTGTTATTTCACTTGTCAATAAACGATTGCCGATACTCTTGGGGAAACCTAAAGTTCCTAGAGAAGAGGAGATTGACATTCCTTAATTACGGATTTCTCTTATCTACTGTCACCTTATCCCCTGCTCGTTCTCTCGACTAAGTCTGGGGATTAGTCTCTCTATCACTCCAGCCCACGTCGAACCCTTAATCTTCAGCCTGATAGCCCCCACTTGCCGCGTGTTGCAGACTTGGCTGGACCCAGAAGACTTGGCTCTGTACCCCTTCTTCGCTCGTTGCACCCTATCATCGATCCATTCGATCCCTTTTCCAACTGACTCCAGCAACAGATTCTGTACTGCACGTTGCAACGGGCAGTTGGACAGTTGCGCTGTACGGCTCGACGTTGGCAAGGATCTCTTATCAGTCTTGTGTCACACGAGACTATAACGGATTATACATAGGACAGGGTGTGGAATGTGACGAGTAGCTCGGAAAATGGAAACAATGTCGAAACCAAACTGGAAGAGGGTTGGTCCCGAACTCCGTTCGGGTCTGAGTGATGGATGTCACACACGTCAACGAGTCTCACCCTCGTGAAATTGGGAAAAGTATCTCAAAATGATTTATGTTTCCCTACGAGTCCCTCGTGCGTTTACTATATGTCAGAAAATCGTTGGCACTGATAGCAACCCATAGGACAACTAGAACGTGCCGGAAGCGCTTCTTGCGACAAGTTCAGAGGCAGCACTTAACTTTAATCTTTCAGCTGAATTCTTTGAAATACCAAATACTCAACTAAATTGAACGCACCACGTCAAGTCTGGCTGGTCTGACCCGATTGGCCTTTTACATTCTGCGTAATACGTGCACCAGGCAAATTGTATCGGTCCCATCGTCATAATTGAAGCGGTTTACGCTTTTGTTTTGGCATTTGACATTAAAAGTCACGCTTTTCGTGCAACTACGTCTCCGTCACGTCAAGTTGACGGATCGGCGTGCGCACTCAGGAAATTAGGCAATTTCCGGACGGTGCTCGCTCGTGCCTGCGTTTAATAGTACCTCGAGTTACTTGGAGTTCGGTAAGTGAAGCCTGCAGCAGGACTATCGCTCTTAGGAAGGACGTAAAGAGGGTTAAAATCCCCAGCCGATAATATTACTGCAAAGTCAATCCATATCCCGGAATCCCAGTGAAAAAAATCAATAGCGATTTCAATGTTCATTTTCGAAATTCCCGTAAAAACTTTGCTTTTTCCTACCATCGCCTCTGCCATTGGTCCTTCCATACGAGGCCATCGAACACGCACGAATGCACGAGAGCACGAATGCACGTATGTGCAGTGGTCGGTGCCGATAGCCCGAATGGTGAGAGCGAATCCCGGGGTCATCCTCGGGGTCGCTAATGACACACGCAGGTACAAGAGACTGTCGGCAGCAGCAACGTGCGGCCGAGGTACGCCAAACGACGCACGGTGCATCCTGCACCCCGCATCAGAATCATCCGCTCATCCGCATCCCATACGAAACGTAAACGCGAAACGTGAATTGGCCTCATCAAAGCGAACAAACAATGCTGGATGCCTCCGATGGCTCAACAACGTGTGGTTAGCCAAATCACCGCACACCGCCGACGCGCGGCTCGCATCTCATCGCTACATCTACTGGATCTACTGGATGCTGCATGTGCCGAATACCAGACACACACTGCCCTACCCACTTCCCTCGATATCTCTATCCCTCCGTGTTATACGTATATATTATACTATCCCCATATCCGCGGCTCATAGTATTTTCTCATTCTCTTTCGCTCTATCTTACTATACCTATACACATAGGTAAATGACCATGAAGAATCGACCGACTCCTATGTAACGTTGCACAGCGCGTTAAAGTCTTCTCGGGATAGACACGTATCTTTTCCGAAGCCCCTTTTTCCACTATTGCCTTCTCTGTGCTATTTGACCAATCAAATGCGCCCTGGTACAGAGCTACATAGTCGTAGATGACTAAAGTTCGTTTTTCTATGGGAATATGACCTGTGCACGAGACCACTGAAAAGTGCATAGGGCACTTTTCAAGAAATCATGCAAAATCATTTTTCATACAATTTGAAGGCTCTAGGATGGAGCACCCGAAGCGAATAATCGATGAGAAGCAATTTCAAAAAATAACCAAATTAATAATATATACATTTTTGACAACTGGGCTTGCAGCATCCGAAAACTCGTCTTTGGACCATAACTCGAGTCTAATAAAAATGTTAATCGCACGGCTCGTTAGAAGACCCCCCGTAATGTCAGCTAGAAGTTCAGTCGGGGTCACGTGGCAGGGAGTCCCCAGAAATATTTGCTCTGAAAGACCTACGATTCCTCAGCATCCCTCGATTATTTATCACCATGGTCCAAGATGTTTAGCGCCTATCTCAAAATTTAGCCAAGTTCCACCCTACGTTCAGCGGGGAAGTAAGAAAGAGCAGATCGTAAACAGTACGGGCAACAGTAAGTGAGTAAAAAGTAGTATCGACTGAGAGTCAGAAAGCAGATGCCTTTTTGAAAAACTTTGTGAAAAAAGTCAACTCGGTGAATCTCCTCAAAAGTTGCCCAAGTGCTTCTGGGGTCTTTCATGAAAATTAACGTGTATGGACATCGCGTGGGTGTACACACTGAAGCAGAAGTCTCATAGGGACACACGAGGAACCTTCCGAATGCAACAGATTTTGTGTTTTTGGGTATTCAGTCATACAGAGAAGATACGTAGGTACACAAAGTGCAGAAGGGGGGTTGATGTAGGGTTTCACTATACGTACGGTGCTCGCAGGTCTATTCAGCTATTGAGCAGTTGAACCCTCGGCACTGAGAGTTGCTGCCACTGCTAGCAGCGAGGCTGCCCTTCCTTTTACATGTTATTTTCCCCGGGTTTTAGGCACAGAAAACTAAAAAGCTAATTTACTTTAAAAGTATCCAAGCGCGCCCGAGAGCGTTTCATCAAACAGACCTTTTGAAAAGCTCGGGCTAATGCAGCCAGCGACAGATTGGTGGTGGCCAATTCTCTCTTTCTCTTTATGTTCAATTCCCCGCTCGCCCCCACCGCCCCCCGCGCTCTCATCCCGCGGATCGTCCAATGGTCATTTCGCTGATAGCTTAAACCGCCAGCGAAAATGTCCAAAGCCTCTGACTCGAATCTACCAGTATTCATTGGGCACTGATGCCACCATTATTCATTCAAGAGAATTAAAATGAACTGAGATAACTAATAGAGCTGCGAGATGCAGTGTAGTTAGAAACAGGATGGACCTATAATAACAGATCCATGGTAGATCACTCAAAACTATAGCTATATGAGACTACTCTACGCTGCAGGCATACGTCCAAATTGCATGACAAACTTTAGTAGCAATGCAATACTTATGTGTACAATGTATAAGAGCAAAAATTAAAACAAATATAACTTACCAAAGGATCCTCATTTTGATCTCCGGATTCCTTGTGTACCACGTACTGGTCCAATAAATTCATTGATAGTCCGGGCCCATTTACACGACGAT